GTTCAGGCAGGTGCTGATTTGTCCCATAAAAGACAAATCAATATCACAATAATCTCTTACATGTGACAACCCCTTAAAAGAACAAAACAATATTTACTTAGACTAAAACAATTTAAACTGAGCTCAAGCTTATAGATATATGCAAAGTTATATATTTTGCAATTAAATATTAATATGATTAACACAAAGTTTTATATGAATATACTGTATTCATACATATACAGTATATAATTATTATTCAGTATGTTTAACGATTACTCTAATAATCAGTATTACGATCTATAGAGGAAACATTTGTTTTGGGAATTTACAATAGAGTAAAGTTATTATCTAGTATTGTTATGAACTTTAATGTTTATTTTTTGTTATTGTCAAGACTTCTTAGGTAATGGTCAACATATTTGTATTTATGCAAATTATATATATATATATATATATATATATATATATATATATATATATATATATATATATATATATATATATATATATATATATATATATATATATATATAATTAGCCTCAGTTGTCTCTGAAAGCAGCTTGATTTGACCAAATATGGTCATTCAGCTGCCTCTCACCGATAATGACGCAGGTTCTATGTCTGTGGCCCAAGGCGCCATTTTGAAAAAAAGAATTATAACACGAATTTCTAATTGAAATGCTGCTCAAAACCTTGTTTAACCAGTAGAAATGTAATAAAGGTTTTATTATCTACGATACGAAAATGAAAACGGCAGGTTTAATCCAATTTTTAAGCCCTAAGGAAGAGTTTATTTCTCAAATATGAAATGCGCCATTAACCCCTTGATTGACAGTTAGAGTCCACAATGCTGTTTTCGTTCAAATCGGTAAAAACCGTTGGTCGTGACGTCAACAAAGCCGTTTACGTGTATAACAATCGTTCTCTTTAGAACTTGTTCCCGCGTTTGGTCGAAGGTAAGAGAAGTCAGTAACATTTGGGAAGGGTAAAAATGTCAGCAATTTTTTAATACCAAATTTTCTGCTGTTCAAAATACAATTTCCTAATGATAATGGAGGATGGGGGGTGTTTACCAGTCAGCTGAAAGTTAATTTGTGTTTTTCTTTTTGTATTTTTGCAGTTTTGCCTGAGATTGAACCTTGGACTGGATTCAAACAACCCTTAGCTTACCTTTTTCATTTGAATAACGGACATTATTTACCAATAATATCAATAGTAAGTTCATTTTTGAAGTATGTAAATTGAAATTAATCCAATGAAATTGTTGTAGGATATGGCTAGTTATCAGTAGCTAGCTAACAGCTGGTATAATACTGTAGTTGTGGGGCATAAAGCCTCATAGAATGTTCTAGAATCTGCAAATAAAGATTGTATACCTGTATAAATATGTTTGTGTAGAAAATATAAAAATGTATGAGCGGCTGTGCTTTGCAACATGCATACATCTTATCAGAATTTTCTATTACTCTTAACCCCACTAAAAATATTTGAATAAACTGAACCATTTGTTTTGTTTTTTTAGCAAATAAACATAACTGAAAATTAGTTCAATATTCAGCGAGTTAAAGTTGATTAAAATAGATTCTGCGCCTGCTCAACACATTACGCTGAGCGGAGCGGTGCCTATAGGCCGATGGTCTTCAACAGGGGGTCCGTGACCCTTAGGGGTCCATGGAGGTACTGCATGGGGGTCGTGAAAGTTTTGGTTGATTAGAACATTAACATGAATCCAACACACTGTAGTAAACAGATAAATGGAGGCAGAAGATGTCTTTCAGTCATCAATGCTCACATTCAGGGACACACAGGAGCTCTTTCAAGCTGGGCACCGTTTCATTCACAACACCTGTCCCATCAACAAAGGACCAGAGTCAGAAATACTTTAATAATCCCAGGGAGAAATTACTTTCGTTACATGAGTCCTTCTGTAATAGATGGACTATAGGACCAGTTTGATTTAACACAATTTCAATATATATAATTAGGGGGTCCCCGCTCCATCTCCTGCTATAGGCGAAAGAACAACGGAGCATTTGGGCCAGGCTAGATTTTTTCTGTTTTTAAATACGAGAATAAAGTCGTAATATTATGATATAATATATTACAATTGCTAGTGGCGTCAGCTGTAAGAGATTGACCTTCACTCCTGTGGTTGTTGGTTCGAGACCCAGGGTAGACTTTCAACAGCTGAACTGTTGCGAAAACTCTAAATCATGTCACAGAAATGCATCACACTGATAAAACCAAAACAATGCATAATTGCACTATATATATTAAATGCTCTGGACTTCCATATCAATGGGTTTTTGCACCATGTTTTTTTTCTCCCACACTGTTTACATTTGATCACTGCTGCACTTTAAGGAATTTAAATATCATGAAAGTTGTACAAAACGAAATTTTGATTTCTTTGCACTCTTGTGTATACAAAATGACAATAAAAGTTGTATGAGTCTAAGAATAAAGTTGTTAATTTACAAGAATAAAGTCATGAAATTACGAGAATAAAGTTGAAACTTTATTCTCATAATATTAGGACTTTATTCTAATATTACGACATCATTCTCGTACTGTTGTGATTTTATTCTCCTAATTTTATGACTTTATTCTCGAATTACAAAAAAAACTCTAGCCTGGCCCTGATACTCCGCCGTAATCAGTGTTGGGCACGTTACTCTGAAAAAGCAATTAGTTATATTTAGTTAGTTACTTCTCCCAAAAGGTTACTGAGTTACTCCACAAGAAAAGTAACTAGTTACTAGTAAAAGTAACTACTTTTGGATTTCTCGCCCCCGTAACCCTCAACACCCAGCCCCCACCTTCACGCAGTGTGTTTCAAAAGCCAGCTGAATAGAGCGAACGACAAAGACAAGAACCTGCAGAGAGTTTTGCAGTTATTGCAACTCAACGTAAATGACATCAGGGGGGAACGCTATCTGACGGGCCTATAAACCCCGGCAGATAGCGTTCCCCCTGCTTAACATGGGGGGAACGCTACCTGATGCGGTGTAAATATCATCAGGCTGCATTACCTCTACTTATGGGTGTGAAGTTTTTTAACAGGACGTTCAGATCTGTGAGTGTATGAAATTAATAACTGGGGATGTCTAATTCTGAAATTCTGTGTGTTTGCTCTCCGTAGTTCCCCTGTGGCGCGAGCACAGGGCGGCTGTTACGTGCCCTTAGCGAGCATGCGCGTTTCCTGTCGCTTGCGCGGCCTTTTCTAAAGTCACAATGATGTTTTTGTTCTTAAGACTCTGAAAATGGCCAGATTTAACACTAGAACTACCACGGAGGGGTCAATTGTCCTTTTTACCTAAAAGCCCTACAAGAGGGTCATTTGACCTTTGGACCTCCTGCGGACACTCCTTTTGTTGTGGAAATGTAGCTGTTAGCAGCTCATAGCTGTCACAGAGTCGCTTGAGCCTGTGTGGGGAAGGGAACCCTAAGGCAAGCTTTTAGTATAGTTTTTAGTGGATTTTTCCAGGTCAATTGACCCCTCTCTGGTAGTTCAAGGTAGGCAGAAAAATCCTGGTAGTTCTAGTGTTAAATAATGGAATTAAAAAGAACTCTTGGGGGAGCACGCTGCCGAACCAGCCTAGAAGTTATGACTATTGACCTCAGTATTTTTTGGGGCCCTGCGTACGTCCCTGGGTGTGAGACATTATAAAACTTCTACTGCCTCAGTAACACGGGTACCTGCTCAGTTGAATTTCACCTGGTCTCCTGCAGGACCAAGGCTTCTGCAGCTCTATAAACCTTTGACTTACTCAGATACTTGCATGCTTTTGCAGCATCGCCTGCAGAACGACTAAACACGATTTCAACACAGACAAATGACTAAAATAAAGCTTCCCTTTCTCATTAAATATGTAAGAGAACCTTTTTATTAGAGACATTTCAGTCATGCAGTGTTTCAATGATAACAAAACCAAACATTGGATACTTTCTGTGCAGAGCAGCCTGCCATCATGGCACAAAAAGGATAATAACAAACATAAAAGTCCAAATGTTTTTATACCCCAGCAGTTATTAATGAAGGGTCTGAGACCAGAAAGCCACTAGAGCAGGGATGTCAAGCTCCAGTCCTTGAAGGCCAGTGTCCTGCAGCTTTTAGATGTGTCTCTGTTCCAACTTACATGATCAAGAATCTCCTCAGTTCTCCAAAGTCCTGCTAATGACCTAATTATTGAATTAAGGTGTTTTGAAGCAGAGACGCATCTAAAAGCTGCAGGACACCGGCCCTCAAGGACTACAGTTTGACAACATTTTTTAAAATATTTTTTTGTAAATGCTTTTTTTAAATCATTAAATCAGAGACACGGTATTGTCTCTGTTTGTGATTTTAAAAATACATTTTTTAAAGATAAATCTGGCGTCTGACCCTCATGGACTGTATTAGAGGGGCAGTTGAACTGGTTTCAGCGTAGGGAGCAGCTAGAACATGAGGCAGCGCTGCAGGTGTTTGTCTCCAACAGGAGATCTGTGTGTGTTGGTGTTGCTGGTTCCATTAATAGTTTGACCCGTTAATGAACTAACTGTTCAGGACACATGAGGAACTGACCCAGATGTTCTGGTGTTACTGAACCAAAGCAGGCGTGGTCAGTGTAGTCAGGCTGCCTCCAGGTGAGTGGTCAGTTCTGACCTTGTTGGTCCAACTCTGGCTGTTTTTCCCTCTATGGTCTCAGAAACGATCCGGAGGAGGACAGGATGTCGCTTAGAATAGCGTGTCTTTGGATCATTGAACTTTTCCGACCCCTCAGCCGCAGGCCTCTATGTTGATGATGTGGAGAAATAGAACAGAATAGAATACATAGAAAATCCCTTTATTGTCCCACAATGGGGATATTGTGATGTTTACAGCAGCAAAGGTTATAGTAGAAGCCGTCACCTTAGAAAAGTGTAAAAAGATAACAGATAGGAAAATAAAACAAATAGAGTATTGAAGTGTTTTACAATATAATACTCTGTATCTGGAGAATAAAAAATCAATAACAGCTCTGGACATGTTTACGGTAGTGGATGTGAGAAAAATAGCAGCAACTGTGTGTGTGTTTTAGACATGGCGGAGGAATCTCTTGACTCCAAGGTGGTTTTGGAACGCATGGAGTCCCTGCTGGGAAAGGATGGAGAGCTCCGCAGTCTGGAGGAAGTTCCCCAGATGTTCAGGTGAGATGCTCCCCTCTGATGGTGCAGCCTCCGTTCCTCCTTCTGTCATCAACCCATCTACTCATTTTTGTCTTTTCTTTCTCAGCTTGATGAAAGCTTCTACCACGATGGCCAGCATGAGTGTCTGCCTCAACGTGCTGCTGCAGACACAATCTAACGATATTCTCCAAAGGTGGGTCTCCTACAGATACAATAAATAATGAGGTTTAGTTCAGGCCCAGGAAAAAGAAGCAGCTCTTCTAGTAGCACCAGCTGGTGGTTAAAACAAGCTTCCCCTTCATCCAGGTTCATCAAAGTGGGAGGCTTCCAGCTGCTCTCCTCCTGGCTCACCCACTCTGAAAGCACCAACAACACCCCGCTGCTGCAGCTCATCCTGCTCACGCTGCAGAAGCTGCCTCTCAAAGTGAAGCACCTCACACAGGTAGCGCCTTCAGATTCTCTATCCGGGTTTTAGGGTTTTAGTCACTTTTGGCAACCTTCACCCACTCTGATGTTTTTCCCCAGAACAACGCAGCCAAGTTCGTGAAGCAGCTGAGTAAAAGTGGAGAAACTGAAGGTGAGTTTGAGACTGAAAACAGCATGAATGTTGGTTTGAGGCGCAGCTTTAACAGTTTGTAACTCTTTGTTTTTAGATGTGAGGAAGCTGGCAGGTGCCCTGGTAGATGGCTGGCTGGCTACCATCAGCGCCCACTGCGCCTCCAAGCGGAGCAGCAGTAACTCGCCTGGTGGTACGGACCTCCATGGTTTCTCTGTTTCCAGACTGAACTTTCCGCCTTCTAAACACTGTTCCTTTCTTTAGATAAAAAGAGGAAACAAGGGCTGGAGATGGAGGATACCAACCCTACCCCTCCTAAAAAGAAGACCCCTGCACCTCAGCTGGGGGAGAAATCCATCCTAAAGTGGCCGCAGCTGAAGAGGCCGAGGTAAGGCGCTGCGTTCTGTTTGAAATCTGGTGATTTTTTCCTGTCAGGCTGCTGATTCTGGTTCTGATCGCTTTGGGTTTTCCTCTGTAGCTCCGGCCCCTCAGACGATGCACCTCCAGAGAAAAAGCACAAACCTCTAAATACTCCCTGGAGCTCCAACGAAGGCATCGAAGCCGAGATAACTCCAGCCCAACGTGAGTTTAAGCACAATTACTAGAAACGGTTTTTGGTTTGTTGGAACGGCTGTTTGATACGAGGAGTTTTTGTGTTCATCATGTCAAACCATGTCTGATGCTGTTACAGCGGAGGAGCCCAACACGCCCACAAACAACGGCAAGAAGAAAAAAAAGGTCCAATGGGCTGAGGAGGAGCAGCTCACACAATTCTTCTATTTTGAATTGGATAGAACAGAGAGAGGTGAGGGATTTAGATGGAGATTTCAATATCATGTGGTCTTAGGAAATTGGATAGACATCCCTTAAAACCCACAGATAAAGAAAATAATCGTAGCAAATTTTTGCACTAGACTAAATTTGGTTGGCATATGGAGATACTGTAATCCATGTGAGAAAAAATACACATGGAGCAACAAAAATCTGCCTTACTGCTCTCGCATTGCTTTTTGGCTGATCACAAACGATTTAATTCAACAAGTTACAGAAGTAATAATTTGTCCTACAATAATAAATGATCACAAAACAATTCTTCTAAAATTAGATTTTCCACAGAATAAAAATAAAAAGTCTTTCAACTATTGGAAAGTTTAAATTGCTTAACGAATCAACTGGATTAAAGGTTCCTTAATTGTCGAAACAGCGTGTGGAACATCTTCCCCTCTAATCTTTTAGCAATCTATATATATATATACAATCTTAACACAATAAATGTTCTGATGAATGCAAATGGTGGATTTTACTCTTATGAGGTCTTTATAGAAAAATATGACTTTGATACTTCTAGAGAAGAGTTTGAAAGGGTGATCAGTTCTATTTCCATCAGTATTGTCTCTTTAGCCCAAAGCATCATAACAGCTACCTCTCTACCTGTATCACTGGGTTCTCCTACTATCGCTGGTATCTCACAGATAGGAGATGTAACAATGTTTTTATCAGGAACCATTTTGTTCCAGTGTCCTGTCAGACCGACATACCCATAGTCGATACCCGTTTATCCCTTTAGTTTATCCCTGTTTATCACTTTAGTTTTGTACAAAAAATACAATTTTAACTACCTTGACAGGCGTGTATCCCTTAAGTCATTTACAAAAAACAGTTTAATTACTTACTTTTTTGTGTTTTTTGAAGCTTATTATGATCTGACCTTAAATTGTTTTTTTTGTACATGACTAAAGGGATACAGACCCGTCAAGGTTGTTTAAAATGTATTTTTCGTACAAACCTAAAGGGATAAACTAAAGGGATATATGGGACTAACATATGCAAATGCAACTGTGACCTCTTGCTGTTGTGTATTGACTATGGGTATGCTGGTCTGACAGAACACAGGTCTATACCCCTATATGTAAGCACCCATAGACTCTGGTGTACAAGAAACTCTGGAACTGGATCTTTCTGCTACCTTATCGATTTATAGTTCCTAACAATGTCAAAGTGGTTCTTTTCAAAATTGTGCATCTGTATTACCCTTCAAAAGCAAATATCTGTGCTTTTTTTTTTCTAATGTGAGTAACAATTGTCCATTTTGTGGATATGAAGGGGACACTATTGAGCATAAATCAACCAAAATAATGAAATTATTTAATCATTTCAATTTACTTGAAACAATTTACTTGTTTGTGTGTATGTTTATGTTTTGTTGAAATAATAATGTTTTTATATTATCTTCCTTCCTGTTATGTAATATTTACACGTAATGTTCAACTATTATTGTACTAAATTGTATGTACAAATGTTAATAAAGAAGGTTTGTTAAAATAATAAAAATAAAGAAGATATGGCGCTGGGTGGACTCGTCAGTCTGGAAGAAGAAAAACTCTCTTGTTTGTACATGCGCGGTGCGCGAGGTTCTGGTAAATCCGCTCGCAGACGCTCAAAGCTCTGCTTCCACTGCAGGATTTGCTCACGAGGGCCGACTGAATCTCAAACTATTGGAAATTTTCCCCCGACCTTATGATTCCTGATCAGGAGGTGGTTGTTAGAGGCTAATCCCCCCCCCCGTTACCCCCTGTATGCTACACGACGCAGGACGCACGATGAGCCTGAAACTCAGCCCGATCCAAAAAATTATCACACGACTAAAGAAACCGCCCAAAAAAGGGCAAAAACTCTTACAGTATATGCCCGGCTTAAGCCGAGTGTTTTGTTAAGTATGTAAATCAACATTCATCCAATGAAATAGTTGTTGGATATGGCTAGCTAACGGTAGCTAGCTAACAGCTGGTATAATAGTGTAGTTGTGGGCTAGCCTAGTGAACTAGCCCCAGCCGCCAGCGGCCAAAATCATTTTTGCCTGCGAGTGGTCTAGCCTCTATCAGTGCCCCAGGCCCTAGAACTGGCTGGCCAATCACAACGCAGAGATATGTTTTGAATTTCTGGATGCAAAGCGGGCGAGGTTTTGAGGGCGTGACGACAAAGCTGCGCAACGCTGGAGAAAGCACAACAAGGAAGATGGCAACAACTGTTAAACAGTAGCATGCAGACGAGAATATTATACTTTAAAGCAGTGGTCTCCAACCCTGGTCCTCAAGATCTACTGTCCTACAGATTTTAGATGCATCCCTGCTTCAACGCAGCTGAATCAAATGATTGATTACCTTTTCAAGCCATTCATTTGATTATCCCATTCTTCCTTGCAGATCCTCTCCAGTTCTGTCAGGTTGGATGGTGAAAGAATATTCTGATAGAATGTATGCATGTTGCAAAGCACAACCACCCATACATTTTTATTACTATTTACACAAACAAATTTATAGAGGTACCCACACACACTGTGGGTACGGAAGGTATTGAGACCCCTCTTTGTTAGCCATTTGCTGAAATCAATAAAGTTATTTTTATTTCTCCTTAATGTACACTCAGCACCCCATCTTGAAAGAAAAATACAGAAATGATCCCATTCTTCCTTGCAGATCCTCTCCAGTTCTGTCAGGTTGGATGGTGAGGGTTGGTGGACAGCCATTTTCTGGTCTCTCCAGAGATGCTCAGTTGGCTTTAGGTCAGGGCTCTTGCTGGGCCAGTCAAGAATGGTCACAGAGTTGTTCCCAGTCGACTCCTGTGTTATTTTAGCTGTGTGCTTGGGGTCATTGTTTTGTTAAAAGGTGAACCTTTGGCCCAGTCTGAGGTCCTGAGCTCTCTGGAAGAGGTTTTCTTCCAGGATTTCTCTGTACTCCGCCGCATTATCTTTCCTTCAGTAGCAACCAGTCGTCCTGTCCCTGCAGCAAACACTCCCATACCATGATGCTGCCACCACTATGCTTCACTGTTGCGATTGTATTGGGCATGTGATGAGCAGTGCCTATTTTTCTCCACACATATCGCTTAGAATTAAGGATCAGAAGAAATGGACAGCCTGTGAGTTAAATATGAATGTCACAGCAAAGGCTCTGAAAACTTATTACCATTTATGTGTGTTTCTGTGAAGATGGGGTGCTGAGTTTACATTAATAAGAAATTGAATGAACTTTTTAGATTTCAGCAAATGGCTGCAATGAAACAAAGAGTGAAAAAATTAAAAGACTGAATACTTTCCAAACCCACTGTATATACATCCCTCTCCACCCCCCCACACATATATATGTATGTGTGTATATCTATGTATATAGATCTCTATCTCTAGATATATAGATAATATACTGTAAAAATGTCCACAGCTGTATATTGATTATCTATTCTTCAGATGCACTGCATTTTTTTTGTAAACACACTGTACAGTACAGTATTTCATTTGTTTATTTTTATAACTTTTTTAAGTCTGTAACTTATTCTTTTATTTTTATACACATTTTAAGGCCCTCATTTGTGTGACCACTTTTGCTATAATCTTTTGCTGCTATAGCACCACAATTTCCCCATTTTGGGACAATAGAGGGATATATATGGTAAAGATAGGCTCTGTGTATGCACCTTGACGCTCTATCTCTCCGGTTCTTTTCCCTGAAAAGAGATCACTCAAGACAAGCTCTTTAAATAACACTTCATAACGTATACAGTGGGGCAAAAAAGTATTTAGTCAGCCACCAATAGTGCAAGTTCTCCCACTTAAAAAGATGAGAGAGGCCGGTAATTTTCATCATAGATATACCTCAACTATGAGAGACAAAATGAGAAAAAAAATCCAGAAAATCACATTGTCTGATTTTTAAAGAATTTATTTGCAAAATATGGTGGAAAATAAGTATTTGGTCAGTTACAAACAAGCAAGATGTCTGGCTCTCACAGACCTGTAACTTCTTCTGTAAGAGGCTCCTCTGTCCTCCACTCGTTACCTTCATTAATGGCACCTGTTTGAACCTGTTATCAGTATAAAAGACACCTGTCCACAACCTCAAACAGTCACACTCTAAACTCCACCATGGCCAAAACTAGAGAGCTGTCAAAGGACACCCGAAACAAAATTATAGACCTGCACCAGGCTGGGAAGTCTGAATCTGCAATAGGTAAACAGCTTGGTGTGAAGAAATCAACTGTGGGATCAATTATTAGAAAATGGAAAACATACAAGACCACTGATAATCTTCCTCGATCTGGGGCTCCACACAAGATCTCACCCCGTGGGGTCAAAATGATCACAAGAACGGTGAGTAAAAATCCCAGAACCACACGGGGGGACCTAGTAAATGACCTGCAGAGAGCTGGGACCAAAGTAACAAGGGCTACCATCAGTAACACACTACGCCGCCAGGGACTCAAATCCTGCAGTGCCAGACGTGTCCCCCTGCTTAAGCCAGTACATGTCAAGGCCCGTCTCAAGTTTGCTAGAGAGCATTTGGATGATCCAGACGATGACTGGGAGAATATCATATGGTCAGATCAAACCAAAATAGAACTTTTTGGTAAAAACTCTACTCGTCGTGTTTGGAGGAGAGAGAATGCTGAGTTGCATCCAAAGAACACCATACCTACAGTGAAGCATGGGGGTGGAAACATCATGCTTTGGGGCTGTTTTTCTGCTAAGGTACCAGGACGACTGATCCGTGTGAAGGAAAGAATGAATGGGGCCATTTATCGTCAAATTTTGAGTGAAAACCTCCTTCCATTAGCAAGGGCATTGAAGATGAAACGTGGCTGGGTCTTTCAGCATGACAATGATCCCAAACACACCGCCCGGGTAACGAAGGAGTGGCTTCGTAAGAAGCATTTCAAGGTCCTGGAGTGGCCTAGCCAGTCTCCAGATCTCAACCCCATAGAAAATCTTTGGAGGGAGTTGAAAGTCCGTGTTGCCCAGCGACAGCCCCAGAACATCACTGCTCTAGAGGAGATCTGCATGGAGGAATGGGCCAAAATACCAGCAACAGTGTGTGAAAACCTTGTGAAGACTTACAGAAAACGTTTGATCTCTGTCATTGCCAACAAAGGGTAAATAACAAAGTATTGAGATGAACTTTTGTTATTGACCAAATACTTATTTTCCACCATATTTTGCAAATAAATTCTTTAAAAATCAGACAATGTGATTTTCTGGATTTTTTTTTTCTCATTTTGTCTCTCATAGTTGAGGTATATCTATGATGAAAATTACCGGCCTCTCTCATCTTTTTAAGTGGGAGAACTTGTACTATTGGTGGCTGACTAAATACTTTTTTGCCCCACTGTATGTATTAAATAACCAGGAGACATGACAACAGATTCTGATAGAAATTGTAATCTTACTCGGATCAAAGAAATTGCTTAGAGTTACAGAAGGCAGCTGCTCACTTTCAGGCTCTCCTCTCAGGCAGTGGCCCAGATTAACAGTTAAAAAGGCATTTTATTCATCTCCAGTCTGCCACATCATCACATTTTACATCATAGACATTAGCAGATGAGGAGACATTCATGGCTCCAGCCTTATGAAAATATTACACTTCATCCTTAGCTGAAGGACACCGCCCTCATTTCATTTCCAAATCTTTGCCAAGTACAGAATGAAGATTATATAGGAACTCTCCTAATTTATATATATATATAAAGTTATCCCTCGAGCCATAATGTTAACAATCCTTCCATATAAAAAAAATAAAAATACGCCGCACAGTGACGAGGCATCCTTCTTCTAGTCTGCTTAAACCAGCATATTATGGTAGCAGGTCAATCTCCCCAAGATGGCACCTGTAATCTTTGCACCGCGACAGTCAATGCGGGTTCTACTCTTATTTTACGTCCATGACCACTCATAACTGGGAAATCTGCAACAACATCACGGTGTACCTCATAACATTTCCCCACCCATATCAGGGTCAAGTGTGTTTTAATGACAGTAGTTGTGTAACAATTGTGATGTTTCCAGGGTGTGAGGTTTTTGCAGTGTTGTGGAGGGAGTGAGACAATATAAAACTTCTACTGCCTCAGTAACACGGGTACCTGCTCAGTCGAATTTCACCTGGTCTCCTGCAGGACCAAGGCTTCTGCAGCTCTATAAACCTTTGACTTACTCAGATACTTGCATGCTTTTGCAGCATCGCCTGCAGAACGACTAAACATGATTTCAACACAGACAAATGACTAAAATAAAGCTTCTCTTTCTCATTAAATATGTAAGAGAACCTTTTTATTAGAGACATTTCAGTCATGCAGTGTTTCAATGATAACAAAACCAAACATTGGATACTTTCTGTGCAGAGCAGCCTGCCATCATGGCACAAAAAGGATAATAACAAACATAAAAGTCCAAATGTTTTTATACCCCAGCAGTTATTAATGAAGGGCTCATTTTATTTCAGGAATTTAATTCTGGTGGAAAATGGGAAATTTATCTAAACAGATGAAAAAATATAATTTTGATAATTTTTTAATACTGTTGATGATTGGAAAATTCTTAATTGGTTTTAGAGCATCCATCTTTGTATAATTATCGACTCACTGCTATTTCTAACAACTGATGTGTGATAAAGAGCAGCAGGTCTATGAGGTTGGAAAGCCTCATAGCCATCACCCTAATCACCAGCTCCCATCAATGATTCTCAGTCAGATTCAAGCAGGGATGGCAACTCAGAAACGTTGATATTGTTTAAGGAAACATATCTAATGATCAGATTAGATCTAAACCTGCTGTGTGTGAATGATGCTCACCTGATGACTTCTCCCTCTTTCAAACACTGCAGCTAAGATCTCTGCTGCACTGCAAAAACGTTCTGAAAATGAGTAAAAATGTCTTAAAATATGTCTCACTTACCTGCTCAGAGAAAAAATGCACTTATTTTAAGATACATTGACTTAGAAATACATTTTTTGCAGTGTGATAAAACATGAACATCCCTTCAGGATTAGTTGGGTCAGAATGATGTTTCTCTGCTTATCATTCCCGTTCATCTTGTCATCAGAATCCTTGTTGGGCTGATCTTCACCCTGCAGGTCTGAGACCAGAAAGCCACTAGAGCAGGGATGTCAAGCTCCAGTCCTTGAAGGCCAGTGTCCTGCAGCTTTTAGATGTGTCTCTGTTCCAACTTACATGATCAAGAATCTCCTCAGTTCTCCAAAGTCCTGCTAATGACCTAATTATTGAATTAAGGTGTGTTGAAGCAGAGACGCATCTAAAAGCTGCAGGACACCGGCCCTCAAGGACTACAGTTTGACATCCCTGCACTGCAAAAAAACATCTAAATAAGTAATTTTTGCTTAAAATAAGTGATTTTTCTTGAGTCGAGAAGGTAAGTGAGACACTTTGCTGATTGAACAAGACAATTTACATTTAAAATAAGAAAAGAATAATTGCATTGTCTTAGTTCAAGCCCATATTATCTAATTATCTTATTTTAAGAGTCATTCCATTGGCAAATGATTTTTTAACTACTCAAATTAACGGTAAATACACTTAATTTTAGACAGTATTTTTGATCATTTCTGCAGTGCTCATCCAAAGCTGGTGGTGGTGAGGATTCATGTCTAACTTCTTTATACTGTTTTATTTTTATTTACAGTCAACATGTATAAGATCAAACGCTTAAAAAAGTTGGCAAAGATGGAGCGGAAGATGTCCGACCTCATGAACCTAAACAACACGTGCAGCCCTCAGCCTTCCAGTGCGGTTCAAAACCCCGAAGCGCCAGTAGTGAAGGTCCAAGAGTTCCTGACATGCCTCTTGGTACTGATCCCCCGCTGAGTGATGTAATCGGTTAAGGAGAAAGACGCTTGTTCTGTTGAAACTAACTGGGTTTCTGTCCTCAGAGAGCGTTCGGCAGCAAGTCCACCGAGGAATTGATAGAGCTGCTTTATCACATCTGTGGTAGGATGTCGGAGTATGATCTTTTCTCCGATAAGCTCAAACATCTGCTGGGCTTTCTGCAGCAGAACTCTTCTATGGAGGATGACAGGTACGGTGAGCCTATGGACACTTCGTCCAATCAGACCCAGACAGAGAGCTCCAAGCAGCCTCCTGTTGAGGCCAACCTCATTAACCTGTATGATAATACGTGCAGCCCTCAGGCTTCCAGCACGGTCCAAAACCCAGCAGAGCCGGGGGTGAACCTCCACGAGTTCCTGACGTCCCTCAAGGTACCGATCCGCAGCTGAGTGATGTCATCGGGTAAGGAGAAGTACGCTTGTTCTGTCAAGGCTAACCAGGTTTCTTTCCTCAGGGATCGGTTGGCAGCGAGTCCACCGAGGAGTTGATGAAGCTGTTTTATGCCATCTCCGATAAGATGGCGGAGTATGATCTTATCTCCGATAAGCTAAAACAGCTGCTGGACTCTCTGTAGCAGTACCAGATCCAAAGGACGAGCTGACCCCACCCAGGTAAACCCACCTTCTTATCATTCACCCTTAACCCCACCCTCACCCAGCCTAACCTTCCTGCCTCCTCCCCCTCAGTCAAACAGGGGCTTCTGGGCCACGGTCCGGCCATCAGTAACAACATGGAGATGCCCATGCACGGCGGCTACCCACTCTTCAACCACACCTCACAACCATGGACCGCCTTTCAGCAATGCCAGAGGCCCCCACATGATGGGGCCCCTGATCAGGACAGGATCGTGTGTTCACTTCCTGTTTGGATTAACTTAGAGATAAAGTCACAAAAGTCTACATCTGCTAACAAAAGAGAGTTAAACCGCCACAAAGGTCGGCTACGTTTGTAGGAAGTTAACTGAATATCTAATAGTAACGGAGCATGGTCTGATATAATTATACTTAAATAATCAGAAAAAACTACACATGAATTGAGAGCCTGGTCGATAAAAAAATAATCAATTCTAGAATAAGAGTGGTGCACCTTAGAAAAGAAGGAACATTTCTTACTGGTTGGATTTCGGGATCTCCACGGGTCAATAAAACCACTCTGCCTCATGAAATCAGAAAATGCTCGAGCCATTAGGGATTTAGTTACTTTAGGGGGGTTGGATCTGTCTAACTCTAGATCAATGACACAGTTTAAGTCACCCCCTAAAATTAGCAAATTATCCTTGATGCGAAGATGGGTCTCCTGTAAAAACACCACTGAAGGCCTTAACCGCTTGAGATGGGAAAAAAACTTTTGATCTTTTCACAGGGTGACCCATGCCCTTGATATTCCAGCTAATGAAACGAAGAGATGTGCCTGATCCTGCTATATCGGGGTCTACAGTGGTATTAACCATTGAAGAAAATAAAAGTAAGAACAACTATAAAGAGCTGAGAAGCCCCCCCACCCCCCAAAGCAAATCCATAACAAAACCACACCCAAAGTCTCCAAAAAAAAAAAAAAGAACAATGGAGACTGCAGTGTAACACACGGTAAATGTTCACAATAAAACGTGAACCCGGAGATACAGCAGAGCGAACAGATACTGAAGTGTATCCAACCAAAACTGGCTAATAACCCCCACCAACCTCCAACATAGAATACGAATGTGTGCAATATTATGCCAATATTATTGCTTTAATTAAATCAAAACAATATTGAGAACCGCAAGATCCCATTATAGTGGGGAGAAATACAACATAAACATCAATAGCAATGATCAGAAGCATTCTTGATTTTTAAACTGAATAGAATATAACCATATCCTTTTTTTTTTTTTTTTCCCCCAATAATATAACCAATATAAACATATCCTTAACATCCAAGTGATGTAGATAAGCCTCAACTCTGACTCAGAGTTGGGAGCTGTAAATTCGCCCAAACACAGTCTATGGCCAAGGCTCATTAAGAGCGAATAGTGCTCAATCAGAAATCAAACTCTGAACGTATTTCTTCGCGTCCTCGGCCTCAGTAAACTCCTTTACAGCTCCATTGTGTGTAATGCGCAGCTGCGCTGGGTAGAAAAGTCCATACCTGATCGCTTCCATGCCACGAAGTAGCTGCTTCACCTCGTTAAAAGCTGCTCGAGCCCGGGCAACCTTAGCAGTGTGATCTGGAAAGATCGATACAGTCTCGGCACTGATTTTGATCCGCTGTCGCTCCCTCGCACGCCGCAAAATATCCAGTCATTGTAATAGTGGAGCCTGCACACAATTACCCGCGGATGTTCCTGTTGTTGTTGTTGCGGCGCGATCTTGACTTCAAGTTCTCACACTTATCTTCCAACATGGTGACCTTAGCTTTAAGCTGCTCCAGAGTGGTTTTCATACCGACAATGTCATCCGAACAACCCGTGAGCGCCTCCTCCACATCCCCCACCGTAGCCGTTAGCTTAACCAACTTAGCATCAGTAGCAGAATAGTCACTTGCTAGCTGCGTTTTCACGGCTTGCACCTCAGTTTTAATGGATGACAACGCATCACCAAGGACCTCTTGAAGCTCTTTCTTAATAATACCGGCAATGTCTTCCTTCAAAGAGGACAGTAATTCGAGCTTTAAGGAATCTGCGTCCGGGTTCGTCTGAATTGGAGCAGTTGCGCTGCAGGGGTCTGGCGGCGCCAGAGAAGATGAGGCCTGTGAGCAAGACTTTAGCTGCATCTGAATAGTACGAGATTTTCCCCTTCCTGACATTGCCACTCGATTCAAAAATAGGAAAACAGGACCGGAGAGCAAAAAAGCAAATACCAGAGACTTGATTTACAATGAAAAGCACAGTTGAAGAAGAATTATAAACGAAATTGGCAGGAGCTATCGCCACTAATGTCCTACTCCATTAACTGCTCAACAGCGCCCCATCAATAGACTATCTTTACTTTTGGCGTCCATGTGGCTTTTCAGATTCCTTGCACCTCCATTGGACACCGAGACAAATGTGCCTGCTTTGCACACTGTGCACAAGGCCTCCTATTTGTCTCGACCCGCTCTGAAAGTGGGGAAACTCTTTTGTAAATCGTCGGTAAACATACATTTGTGCTTTTAAATGTTGTTGGCGTACTGACAGCCACGCAATCTATATTCTGATTAAGAACAGGGCTGCCCGCACTGGCGCGGCTCAAGCATTACGTCACACGCAGCACCATGCGCAGTGCCCTAGTGCCTGTAAATTTAATGGTCCAATGAAGGTAATTTAAAAAACAGGACATTTCCTCACTTTCTAAAAAAAAAAAAACGGGACGCCCGGGACAGGACGTGAAATACGGACATGTCCTGGGAAATACGGACGTTTGGTCAACCTAGTGTAATAAGTGTAGTATTTTTGTAGCTTTGGAGGCGAGGGTGTCAGAGTTAGAATCCAGGCTTCAGGCTGTTGAACATCCAGGAGTTAAAGTAGGCCCCCTACGTAGCTGTCCTCCAAAAGTGCCTGAGCAGCCAGGCGATTGGGTAACTGTACGCAGAAAGCGTAGTCGTGGATCTCTGCCCACTGGTCACCACCAACCCGTTCCTGTTTCTAACCGGTTTTCCCCACTCAGTGACACACACACTGAGAAGCCCACTCTGGTGATTGGCAGCTCCATAGTCAGAAACGGGGCATTAGAGACACCAGGGACCATAGTCAAATGTTTGCGGGGGGCCAGAACGGGCGACATCAAATCCTTCCTGAAACTGCTGGCTAAGGATAAGGTTAAATACAGTAAGATTGTTATTCACGCTGGCGGTAAAAACACCCGGTTACGCCAATCGGAGGTCACTAAAATTAGTGTTGCTTCGGTGTGTAAGTTTGCCAAAAAAATGTCGGACTCCGTAATTTTCTCTGGTCCCCTCCCTGATCTGACCAGTGATGAGGCAATCCTTTTGGGGAAAGCCTGGTCTGATTTGGAGAGACGGCATCCATCCCACTTTGGATGGTGCAGCTCTTCTTTCTAGGAATCTGGCCACATTTATTAGTCCTCCAAAACCCTGACCACCCAGGGTGCAGACCAGGAAGCAGAGTTGTAGTTTAACACACATCTCTGCAGCCACTCTACTGTTACCCACTCTTTACTCCATTCACACAGTGTCTTGCCCATGACCAAAATCTAATAAATTAGCAAATATTCCCAAAGGAGTAAATCATGATAATCTAAATAAAATTAAAAGAAGTCCAATTGGGGAAAAAGTTAAAACGATTAAATTTGGTCTGTTTAACATAAGATCTCTTTCCTCTAAAAGTCTGCTAGTTAATGACTTGATTTGTGATAATCACATTGACTTATGTTGCCTTTGTCAGGACTCCAGTTTTTGTGCTGGTCTGTTTGTCTTGTCTTTGTGTTTGTCTCCCTTCCACCACCAGGAGGCGCCTGGTTCCGGTCCGCCTCCTCACACACCTGCGAACAGTTACCTCATCACCGGACTGCTCTTAAGCTGCTGGTTGCCACTACCTCAACGCCAGAGTGTTTGCCAGTTTGGGGTACTCTAGCCAAGCCTTGTTTATTCTGAGTCTAATCTGAGTTTTTGCATTGCAAGTTTTTGTACTCTAGCCAAGCTGAGATCACAGTTTGACTGAGTGCTTGTCTCCCTGAGATTCAACTTTGTTTGTTTTTGCCTTTCGGCAGGAAGCCTTCCTGCAAACTGGACCTTTCTGGACCGACTCTCCCAAGAGGGATCAACTGAGTCTAGCATTGAGCGATGGATCCCAAACAGGAGGTTTGGATCCAGCCACCTTTGAAAACGCTGAGGTCTCTCTCTGAGTAAGGAAATCATCTTCACCACGACCCGTTCAAGTACCACAGGAGAACTGAGTTTCAACCAGCGTCTGCATCATTCCTCACCGTCTGAGTTCTGGGTAAACCCTGTTCCGCCCTCCACCGAATCTGACAAACTCTAGAAGACTAACACACAGACTGGAGTCAAAGAGGCTCAACTTCTTGTGGTCATGGTTCCGAGCCTTAGATAAAATCATGACAGCCTTACAGAAACCTGGCTGCAGCAAGAGGATTATGTGAGCATAAATGAGGCAACTCCTTCAAGCTATTTAAATTTTCACATACCCAGAAGTTCTGGGCGAGGAGGAGGAGTAGCAACAATCTTTCAGTCTGACTTACTGATTACTCCCAAAACAGTTAATACCTACAACTCTTTTGAACATTTAACCCTTAATTTCCCTGATCAAAATTTCAAAGCAAGAAAACCTCTTCTTTTTGTAACTTTGTATCGTCCACCAGGTCCTTACTCTGAATTTTTAGATGAGTTTTCAGAGTTCCTTTCTGATTTGGTATTCAATACTGACAGGGTCATCATAGTGGGAGATTTTAACATCCATGCTGACATTGAAGGTGATGGCTTAAGAGCAGCCTTAGACACTATTGGCTTTGTTCAAAATGTGAATAGTCCCACACATTCTCATCTTCATACTTTGGATCCGGTGCTGACATATGGCATAGAATGTGAAGAAATAACAGTATTTCCTCACAACCCTGTCCTCTCTGACCACTTTCTAATAACCTTCAGGATTACTTTGAGTTCTACTCCCCCAAAAGAAGGTTCAATTTTAGTAGATCATTATCAGATAGTGCAGTTATACATTTGAAAGAACCTGCTTCACTTTCTCTCTCCTCTGTGTCGCTGAGCAGTGCTGCAGAGTTCAAAAGCTTAGTTTATTCCCCTTCACAAGTTGATGATTTTGTTGATGGGGTTGCTAGTTCTCTGCGTACTACCTTAGACAACGCAGCTCCTTTGAAAATGAAACCTTTCAAAATAGAAAGCTTGCTCCTTGGTTTAATGCAGAGCTGAGCACTTTGAAGCAAAATGCTAGGAAACTGGAGAGAAAATATCACTCCACAGGCCTACGGGAATCCTACACTGCAAAAACCATCTAGAAATAACTTAAAATTTCTTAAATTAAGTGTATTCACCCTTAATTTGAATACGTAAATGAGATAGTTTGCCAATGGAATGAGTAATTTTATTCTTAAAATAAGATAATTAGATAATATGCACTTGAAATAAGACAATGCAATTGTGTTTTCTTATTTTAAGTGTAAATTGTCTTGTTACATAGGCAAAATGTCTCTTTTACCTCCTTAATTAGAGAACCAATGCACTTATTTGAAGAAAAAATGACTTATCTAGATTTAGTTTTTTTGCAGTGTATACCTAGTCTGGGAACTTGTTTACTGCTGTATAAGAGGACCCTTTGTAAAGCAAGAGCAGCATATTTTTCCTCATTAATAGAGGAGAATAGGAATAATCCTAGATTTCTTTTTATCACAGTTGCCAAACTCACCCAGAGCCATAGCTTAGTTGAACTGACCATTCCACCTACTCTTAGAAGTAATACTTTTATGGGATTCTTTATAAATAAGATTGATCTTATTAAAAATAAGATCATTAGCACTCCTCTATCCGCAATTGTATCTGAGGTAGTCATGGAATCTGAACCGGGTTTAGACTGCTTTGATCCAGTTGAACTTTCAGAGTTAGCAAAATTATTGTCTTCATCTAAGCCTTCAACTTGTATGTTAGATCCAGTTCCAACCAGGTTATTTAAGGAGGTATTCCCTTTGATCTCCTCCATTTTAGATGTGATTAATCTATCTCTGTTACAGGGATATGTACCTAAGGCTTTTAAGGTTGCTGTAATTGACCCAGATGACTTGGTCAATTAGAGACCTATATCCAATCTTCCTTTCTTATCTAAAATTCTTGAGAAAGTAGTTGCCAAACAAGTTTGCGATCACTTACACCATAATGAAATTTTGAAGAGTTTCAGTCTGTTATTCAGTTTGTTAACGTTAATGACAAATCTTCCACATGCTCAAAGGTTACCTGTGGAGTACCACAGGGATCAGTGCTGGGACCAATTCTCTTTACTTTATAGATGCTCCCAATCGGTAGAATTATTAGACAGCATGGGATTAGTTTTCACTGTTATGCTGATGATACCCAGCTATATCTGTCTATAACTCCAGATGAAGCTAACCCATTACATAAATTACAGACATGTCTTGAAGACATAAAAACCTGGATGACTCTAAACTTTCTCCTTCTGAGTGCAGACAAAACAGAAGTTATAGTCTTTGGACCAGAGTCTTTGAAAAATAAGCTGATTAGCCAGTCACTTCATTTGGATGGGATTAAACTGATTTCAGATAATAAGTAAAAAATCTTGGTGTTGTTTTTGATCAGGACCTGCCATTTAAATCCCATATCAAAGAGGTTTCTAGATTTTCCTTCTTTCATCTGAGGAATATTGCAAAAATTAGAAATATCCTGTCCAGGGGTGATGCTGAGAAACTAGTCCATGCATTTGTTACTTCAAGGCTGGACTATTGTAATTCTTTACTATCAGGAAGTCCACAAACTGTAGTTAAAAGCCTTCAACTGATCCAAAATGCTGCAGCCAGAGTTCCGATGAAAATGAAAAAGAGAGATCATATCTCTCCTATCCTGGCTTCTCTTCATTGGCTTCCTGTTAAATCCAGAATAGAATTTAAAATCCTCCTTCTCACATATAAAGCCTTAAATGGCCAAGCTCCATCTTATATCAGAGATACGATTGTTCCTTATGTTCCTAACAGAGCACTTTGATCTCAATCTGCAGGTTTACTAGTGGTTCCTAGAATTTCTAAAAGTAGAATGGGAGGCAGATCTTTTAGTTATCAGGCTCCTCTCCTGTGGAACCAACAACCAGTTTTAGTCCGTGAGGCAGACACCCTGTCTACTTTTAAGACTAGGCTTAAAACTTTCCTTTTGATAAAGCTTATAGTTAAAGTGGCTCAGGTTATCCTGAGCTATCTATATAGTTATGCTGCTATAGGTTTAGACTTCTGGAGGACATAGGGACCCCCAGTTCATCATTCTGCTTCATTCTCTCTCTATTCTCCTACTCTAGTTCTAGTTCAATCTTTAACGTTTTGCTCTCTCTCCTTTTTCTCAACGTAGCTTTGCCTCGTCTGTTCCTGTTTGGCTGTGACGCCATCCTGGAGAGAAACATCAGCTGTGCTGCTTCCATCAACACCCTCGTTTATAGATGCTGGAGATCGGCCTGTTTTCCAGTGTATTCCTGTTTCTCTGACCGTGACTGGCTGGATGTGCCCTCTTCATCCTCTAACATGGGAGCTGGCTCAGAGCTCGTCTGCCTGGTTGTGTGTTTCCTGGACGGGGCCGCCTTCTACAGCTGCTTTGTGTGTCTCTGCTTCTGAACCCCAGTCGGCCGCGGCAGATGGCCGCTCACACTGAGCCTGGTTCTGCTGGAGGTTTCTTCCTGCAAAAAGGGAGTTTTTCCTCTCCACTGTCGCTACAAGCATGCTTAGTGTGAGGGATTGCATTTGAGTCAATGAGTCAATGCAATCAACTGGTGTTCCAGGACCCAGAGGGGGACACAACAACATAAACGGTACATAGATCTGGCTCAGCTGATTATTCCTGACTGATCAGAGACATGTCTTCACTGAAATGTCTTTTCTGCTCCCAGACATGTCCAAGAGACCCATATGTCCCTTCATGATGAAGGGCAGCTGCAGGTATGACAGCAGCTATGCTTTCTACCACCCCGGCATGAACGGCCCCCCACTACCGCCTAACCACCCTGCCAACCACCACGGCCACTAGGGGACTGCACTTCTCCTCCTCAATTGGTGAATCCAGAGGGAAACCAGGAGCTCCGCCAAACGAAAAGAGAGACTCTGTTTCACTTTTTGAACTTTTGAAACTGAAACAATCCACAGTGAGCTGCTGTCTGAGCTTATTGGACCATCAGACTACAATAAGCTATGAGTAGAATACTGTTTAAAAATGTGTAGAATAAAAATGTAATTGTGCTTTAAACCAGCAATGTCCTTGTTTGCTTCTGTCAGCTGTTTGCCTCATTAAGCCAGAGCGATGTTCCTCCTGTCACAGCCCGGTTCTACAGCTCAGTCCTGGTGCTGAGATACGAGGCTGCTGGAGTGTTTGCAGCTTTACGCAGCAGCACTACTTGAGTAAATACTATGAATTATTAATTAATTTAAGGTTAAATCAGAAGGATCTCAGATGGTTACTCTGTATATCATCATACAGAAGAATCAACCTATGTATAGTGTTCTCTGAACATTTTCCTCTGCTTATTGTTGTCGCCCATATCAATGTCAGTTAACAGGTAATGCTGAAAATGTTTAAAAAATGATTCAAACACAAATCGAGCATGTTGTCAATCAGCTGCTGCTTCTCCAAAACTACCCTGAGTTTTTACGTTTCCAAGAAGTTATTTTCAGCCTCTGTCTGATCAGGTTTACTTTCCTGATGCCGCAGTGAAAGCACTGGCAGACTTTTAGTTGGTCAGGAGACTAAACTCAGGCCGTTACCAGGTCTGTTCAGATTACCCATGGAGTAACTGGGCATCCAAGATTCAATTTATTCTGATATCCTGTTAGATCTTCTGAGCCAACGTGTTGGGAGAGTCCATCCGTACCATCTACAGGAGAACTGGAGAGTCTGCCTTCTCTGTTAGAGCCCCCAGCACCTGTTCATGCTGGGTATTGCTTGGTTAGGGGAGCATTTCAGGCCAGCAGTGCATGAGGGTGCTGCCCTCCATGCACCACATAGATACTGTTGGCATCCTTTGCTGGATGACCCAGCTGGGATGTTGTGAGGTGGATCTACTCAGTTCCTGGTCCAAAATCTCTGAAACACATTGACAACAGGGACGGATCTTCAGGGGGACCATGGCCCCCCCTACCAGGTGATTTGTTCCCATGTAGATTCAATTCACCACCTCTGGAACCAGCTGTTCTCCTCTAACCTAGAAGGTGGCATCCCACCACCATCCTAATTTGACACTTTAAAGCTAATATATCCCTTATATATATATATATGCCTTCAATGTTGGGAACTTATGCATATATTCCAATCTAGTGAAAGCTATTATATCATCACATATAGGAAAATCCCATTTATTGATCATTGCAATGGGAAAAAAAAAACAATCAGTGAAACCAAGATGGCTGACACACACAGGGGAAAAAGACCAAACATGTCACCATTCCGACAGAATACCATATTACAACTGCAAAATCTAATTGCAACTATATCTATGCAACTACTTTGTTGTTATTTTGATTTTTTACAGTATAAAATGCATAAAGTACACTGGAATGGACAGATAAATATTTCTTTGTAGAATAAAGAGAGATACTTTTTTTTTCAAATCTTGTTTAACTTTCCTAAGGATGTATAAAAAATACTTAGTAAAAAGATCCTGTCTGAGTTTATCATAATTCATGCATGAGAGGATATTAACCAAACACTGGCAACAAGAATACATAATACCATTAAAAACGGTAAGACAGAATGCATGCTCTTTTATAGTTTAATTTTTAGGTTTTTTTAGCGGAGAGTTTGTCTAGGAAGTCTTCTATGTTATTAGAGATAGAAGTTTTACTTATAAGAACCAATTTAAAACCACTTATTTCAAGAACCTTTACCAAAACAAACAGATCCTGTTCACATGACTTGGATAAAACCTTTATTATAGTGATAAATAACAGGTAAAGATAGAATGACAGGAAGGATCCTTCAACAAAACCAGACCCAGTAGGGGGGATTTAATATAATTCAGTCTTGTAAAATAGAACCAAGACCCAGCAGATGTCATTTTAAGGCAATTTACATGACAGTTTTAATAAAGAGACGTGTAACAGAATTAAAAACATCACAAACATCCAGTTAGATCTAATTTACAACATGGTGAAGATAAATTTAGTTTATTATGGCGTTTAGAGAAACGTCTTAAATCCAAAGAAGATCCGCCAATTACATCCCTTCATTAATCTTGCAGCAGTCCCTCCTCCTGAGTAATGAAGTGGTGACAGTAGAGAGGAAAACTAGCTTTAAGCAGGAAGGAACCTCCAGCAGCAGCTCCATGTCAGCGCCCATCTACTGCGGCCGAGTGGGTCTTTAACAGGACAGCAGACGTCCAACAGACACAGAGGCTCCGGTCCAAGGAGCAGCTGGCCTCTCTGGAAGAAGAACAGGAGTTAGTAAACGAACACGCTAGTCTGTAAAATTTAAACACATAAACACTGGGAGAGGTGTAACTTTAACCGATAGAAGAGGAAAACACACAGGGAGAACCAAAAGTTAACAGCAGTGATAACTGTAGACAATGGATGCTTGGAGAAAATGCCTGAAAATGCTGCATTTGTTGGAGTCTACAGTCGGTTTCATCAGGGTCGTTTCTCTGCTTTAATAAGTTCTAAAAACCCTTCAGAGATCAACCAGGGGGAAATTCTCCCATATTGGATCAGAAGCTGCTTCTTAACTGTTTCTCTGTGGTCTAATGGAAAAGTCAGAACTTCTGGTTCTGGTAAAGTTTGGTTACAGAGATGAAAGTTGAGATGAACATCCATTCATGATGGAAAGATAAGGATTAAAGGTTAGACCACCTTGATGGGATGGTTGAAGCTTTTGAATCTGTTTGTTCTAGATCTGTTTTTAGTATTTTCACCAATTCTGATGAATATCTGGAAGCAATAAAGGTTTGTTACCTTCTTCTACTGGGTGTAGCAGATTGATGGTTTAGCTGCAGGGTCTTTATTCAGTCCAGGACTCCAGAATGTTGGAGAGACTGGGAAGCTCCTCACCACCCTGGATGTCCCGCTTCCTCACAGGACTTCTGCTTTTGGACGTCCACAGTGTCTGAACATAACATGAAAAACTAAGTGAGGCCACCTGAAATGTTAACTTTATATTGAAATGATGGATTGTTGTTGCTCCTTACTGAACATGCTCTCTCTTTGTGAAGGTCAGCAGCTTGGCTTTGGTCGCTGTAGATCTCATCAGCATCTTCTGATGGCCCAAAGCCTCTAGAGGCTCGGTCCAACATGGGATTTAAAAAACACAGAAAAGGTCCACTGCGGTCAGAACCGGCCTAGATCATATGGAGAGTATTTCTGCAGATGGTTCTTTGCCTCAAACTAGGCCTGAATACTAACTGACCAGAGGAAGTGTCTTACCTCGTCATTATAGTTTTCTTTTGTTTTAAATCCCTGCTCTATTATTATTAATTTGCCTTACTGTTTTATGTGCTTGTTTTTAGTCTTAGCCCCTTGTTTTTTTGTTTTACTTCTACCTATATTGTAATGTTCTTGCACCTCATCGAGATTTTGTATACATTTTGTTCAATTAAAAAAAAAACCTTGTCATTATTGTTTTCCCCTGATATCCCCATGGTTTCTGGTTTGTTTAACTTTTTTTCTTGTTGGAATTTTTGGATTCCTGCCTCAGTTGTTGTTTACCTTGCATTAAATCTAAATAAATATCACCTCTGCCTCCCTGCCTCTGCATGTGGGTCCACTAACTACAACCAAATCCTGACACATTTTACAAACGTCTGCATTACCCTATCCCTTAATCAGTTTGCTTGACCAGCTAGAAGCCATTTCTGTAAAGTTTGCATCTTAAAGATGGATTTATAATCTATTGTCCCCACAGGGAAAGTTGTTGGACACAATACACTGAGCAAAGTTGCTACAACAATTACATACAGTACAAATAACCCTGCTTTTCACTTAAAGTGCACACGCTTTTCTAAAATGTATAACATTTAACATCATTTTACTTCTAAGAAGTTTTTTCTGGGGATTGAGTCTTGCTAGCAAAGAATAAAGCTTAAACTCAGACGAGGCAGCTGTCTGACAAACTCAGAAATCTAACTTTTCTTCATTCTTAATTAACATAAACCTGGGAAGAACCAGCTAACTAGTCAGATGTAAATAATCAAACTGGTTGATTGGTTTGAGTTTTAGATTTTTACATTTTAAGCATTAGAATAAAAATCAGCCATAAAGATAACTTTATTCAGCTGATTAAAATCTTTGAGCTCCTCATTTTCTCCCTGACAACTGCATGGAAAAGCAATTCGTTTTCCAGATGAAATGTCTGTTTAATCCACCTTTGTGAATCATCCTCTTCACCTATCCGATGTATCTGTGCTTCTATGAAGTTTAGGGATTTGAGTCATCAGTAAACTTCTCTATAGGGAGGAATGGAGCCTGATGGAGAGGTTTAGAAAACTGGTATAATCTAAAAGATTCAATCTAACGGGTTGGTTTTAAATTCTCGCATGAAGACAAACAAAAAAGTCACAATATACCAGCTTTTACGATAGAAAAAAAATACATTTATTTCAGTCCAATACCCAGCTATGTGTTATAAGTGAACAAAGCTGTGATGCAGGCAGGATTAAAGCCTATGTGGAGGTGAGGAAAAACTAAGCAGATATAATAACAGTAAATTAGCTCATAATTCGCAAAAAAAAACAAAAAAACAAGCAGCTTCTATGGAGGCTGGAAGTAAACCCAACATCATTCATCCGATAACTGCACCAGCCTGACAATGTACAGTTTAAAACAGGAGCACCTTGTATCTTATGACTTGTACTGAGTTTATAATTATAGTTTCCCTACATCTTCACCAAGCAGTAATTTGTGTGCAAAAATAAATATCTGACAATGCTTGGGCCACCCTCCTATAGTTGGATTTTTTTTCTGGATAATGAATATTCTATTTTTGATGTATGGGGGTGCAAAAAGAATAAAATTAGTTAAGATGCTTTTATTCAGAATACATGCCCTACAGCACAGACGTATGTAGGCCTACATAAAAATAAAATATAAATCAAAACCTTTGAGTTGCTTTTTTTTTCTGGCGGATTTGAACTTTTTTTAATCTTTCAAGCTTCTACAAAAATATCAGTAACTCAGAAGTTATTAAAATGAATTTCGTTTAAAGGACCTTTTGATTCACCGTACATTTCCTACTGCAGGATAAAACATGATTATTCTGTTCTAGAGCGAGATGTAGTTCAGGGTTTTAACATAGTATAAGTCACTATATTTTAGCTATGCCTCATTATTCAATATGTTCTTTCTTTCAAAGAAATTCCCTCAGTCTGCATCTGAACTATGACGCTCAGCCATGTTGATCTACTACTAGCCAGCTGGGGACGGTCGCGGAACTGAGTACTGCTTGATGGCTTTCGATTCCAAAGAGAAGAAGAGAATATCAGGCGCGCGGAAGGCTAAATTTGAATCAAGCAAAACAACGAAGGGTAGGCGCTTCTCTGGTTTAATATATCTAATTTCATCATTTTCACAATAATACTAAAGATAAATATTTACCTTCTAATGTTTTATTTCTTTAGTCGTTAAAGTTCCGCATGTAATATTATGTAGAAGCGATGTAAACAAAACGAATGAAAGCCGTTCGTTCGCATTCATTTATACTTTAACTTTCCTCTTTTATCAGTAAACTAATACAAAGTTATAAATAAACACGGAGGGTTGAACAACAGTATTTAGTGGCTGATTGAGATTCAAAACAAAAGGAAACAACTTTTCTCATTACTAAGCATTTCCTGTTGGTAAATATTTCACACAAAACACAACAACAGACATTAGCCATAGAAAATTAACTGCTAGAAATGATTAAAGAAGAAAAAACACAACAAGGCTTTGTTTTTTTTTTGAATGTATTGTGTTGTTTTTAATGAAAAGGTTAAAAAATAAAGTGGATAAGAAAAGCTGAGGACTGTCAGTAGGACTGTTTACATGTCTGCAGAGTTAAGCTCTCTGTGTTGATCTTTTCCTCATAGAAAGAATCAAATCCTAATAAAACTGTTTATATCTAAAGTTTTTTTGTGGTAAACGCAAAAATAAAAAAATTAAGGGAAAAAAACTCATGATAATTTTGTTGATTACAGGGGTTGCTTTGAATCTATGTTTTAATAATATAACCTCTTTCTCAATCCAAATGGAAATTGTTTGTATTATATAGATCTTTCATCCCAGCAGCTGTAAGAATTAATAACCATCACTGTTCCCAACAACCTCAATAAGTTGTTACATTCATGGAGTTTTGTTCATAGTCTCTATCTTAGTCAGTTAAATAACATACTGCTGTCATTTAAAAATATCCATTACTGTAAAAATGTCCATAACTGTTTATTGGTTATTTATTCTCCAGGTGAACAGTATTTATATAGTTTAAACACTTTACAGTACATTATTTTATTTTTTATTCTTCACTATTATGTCATTCTTATACATTTTTCAGGTCCACGTTGTGGGACCATTTTTTCCATAATATTTGCTGCTGTAAACACCAGAATTTCCCCATTGTGGGACAATAAAGGGATTTTCTATTCTGTTAAAGATAGGCTCTGTGTTTTCACCTTGACGCTCTATCTCTCCGGTTCTTTTCCCTGAAAAGAGATCACTCGGGACAAGCTCTTTAAATAACACTTCATAACTTATATGTATTAAATAACCAGGAGACATGACAACAGATTCTGATAGAAATTGTAATCTTACTCAGATCAGAGAAATTGCTTAGAGTTACAGAAGGCAGCTGCTCACCTCTCAGGCAGTGGCCCAGATTAACAGTTAAAAAGGCATTTTATTCATCTCCAGTCTGCCACATCATCACATCATTACATCATACACGTTTGCAGATGAGGAGACATCCATGGCTCCAGCCTTATCAAAATATTACACTTTGTTCTTAGCTGAAGGACACCGCTTTCATTCCATTTCCAAATCTTTGCCACGTACAGAATGAAGATTATAACTGTATATCCGCACAGAGGAACTGTTTTAATTAGATAAACTATTGTGGAAAACATCAGTTCTGACACGCAACAGGCAGCTAATATTAAGGCGTAATAAACTCACACATCATCAATGATAATAATCCAAACAATTCTATTCTAAAATATGAATCCAGGATTATTCATATTCATCCTTCCAGTGTCATGGTTTGAATGTGGGTAGTGTACGATTAGTCTGCTTCAACGTTTGCTAACTCATCCTGCTCCTCTCCTCTTCTTTTTTCCAGCTGTTCACAATGGCTCAGGGCCACAAATTTCCCGAACTGATTGAGACCGGGGAGGATCTACTGGTCTACATCAACAGCAGTGGTCCAGAGAAACTGAAAGGCCAACTCCCGGCGCTGTTTGATACAATACTGGAAAAACAGAAGGTCATGACACAGATTCTAAAAGGCAAGAAATCCCATCTTTAGTTGTTCCTTTGAGGTATTTGTGCTACTTTGAGGCTATATGCATAAATCATTGTGGTCGTCCTTTTCCCTGATGGCTTTCAGTATGAGTCATTTCATTTGAGAAAGTGGCTGTTGTCATTCCAAGCATCAACCACTGTCCTTTATAAGCAGGCGTCGCAGAGATGGAGGAGAATGTGGGTCAGAGGCTGCTGGACTTGGAGGAGCAGAAGAAGCACAGGAAGAAGGAGCTGGAGAATGTGGAGGAGCAGCTGCAGCAGTGCATGGCAAAAAGTCAGATCACAGACTCAGAATTGCAGTATCCTTTCTTGTGTGGGTGTGTTGGCTGTTTACTGTACTGTTTATTGGTGCTGTTCCACGTTGGTTTCCTTAACAGTCCTCCAGGTTTCTGCAGTCAGAGCTGGAGAGTTTGAGGAGCTCAGAGAAGGAACTTGAGGCTCTTCAAAATGAGGTGGATGAAGACACCACTGAGATTATCCCATCAGCTGTGTGAGTGAAAAGCCAGAAAGCTTCAGAAAAATCCACATTCTAATTCTTTTTAAAAGTATTCATATATCTCTAACATATTTCTAAAATCTTTGGTCACATTAAGACAAATCGTATTTTAATGTGTTTTTATGTGAAGAACTGATTAAAAAGTAGCACATACAATGAGGGAAATAAGTATTTAAACTGAAATGCAAATTCTCTCATTCAATCATGGAGGGAACTGAAATTGTCATCTTAGGTGCATGTCCATTATGAGAGACATAATCTAAAAAAAAAAAAAATCCAGAAATCCCAATTTATTATTTTTTTAACTATTTATTTGTATGATGTAGCTGCAAATAAGTATTCAAACACCTGAGAAAATCATTGTTTATTTTGGTACAGTAGCCTTTGATTGTTTTTCACCAGGTTTGCACACACTGCAGGAGGGATTTTGACCCACTCCTCCACACAGATCTTCTCTAGATCGGTCAGGTTTCTGGGCTGTTGCTGAGAAACACAGAGTTTAACTCATTCAAAGATTCTCTGTTTGGTTTAGGTCTTGAGACTGGCTAGGCCATGCCAGAACCCCAGGGCCGGATCTAGAAAAATATTTATGGGGTGGCGAGAGGGGGGGCAGGAATTTTTTAGGGGTGGCAACTAGGGCTGTTGCAACTAACGATTATTTTAAAAATCGATGAATCGGACGATTATTTTTTCGATTAATCGATGAATCGGACAAAAAATATTTTTCATATTAACCTCTTTATTCCAAAATAAACATTTTAGACAGAACAAACAAGCACACAAGTACAGGTTGCTCATTAACTGTACTGGTGCAATATGAAAAATAAATGTTTGTGTTAAAACTACGCAAACTTACATGAGAAATGTAGCTGTACATCCACAAAATATAGGGTACTTTGTTTCATAAAGCGCAAAAAAAGAAATTTTTGTTTTTAAAAGCCCCTAAGGGGTTCAAACAATAGCCCCCCCCCATTTCAACAAATGAGTTTTTTTTAGACTAGAAGAGTTCTGCCTTTTAAGACAGGAAAGTATAGCAGTTAAAGTTGCTACTTGAGAAAATACTGAACCATAGAGATAAAAATAGCCCTGTGATTCAAATTATAAATTGTATTTGGAATAAAAATGAGAGAACTAGGGGTGCTAAAAAACACATCCTCCAAAGACAGATATTTACATGGGAATGTGGCACATAATTAATTGACATATTACTGATCTTGCTGGATTTTATTCTGCTTTACTTCCATAAATTGCAGGATCTTCTTTACTTTATCTTTGCCAGAAGATTTAAACTTTAAAAGCCTTGCCCTCATAATTTGCAAGTTAATTTATTTATAAAGTAAATGTAAACGCTGCTTAAGCTAATTCAAATGAAATTAAAAGTAAAATAAGTAGCCAACCTTATCACTGTCTGTAACCTACTAACACGGTAAGGAAAGCATCAGATAAGCTACCTGAGAAACTAACGTTACGTTTCCCCACTTTAAAACCAAACAAACATGGTGGTTCCGTGCCATGTTAATTTCTTTTGAAAAAAGTTGCATGTTATCACTTTTTTCGCTTTACAAAGCGCAGGCTATTTTAATTATTGTGATCAATTTGCACCGTCAATCCCGTTGCATGCGCGCTTCATTTGCAGTCTGGACGCTGAGGCTCTGACTGCAGCGCTGAGAGGGACTCCTGCGGGAAAACGCGGTTGGGGTGGGGGAGGCGCCCCACGGCAGAGTAGGAATGATACATGCTTTCACTAAGAGTCTCCAAAAGCCGCCAGTGACACCGAAAAAAAGTCGCCAGATTTGTCGCTAGTCGCCTTTTTGAAAAATAGTCGCTGGAGGGGTCTGAAAAGTCGCTGAGTTGGCAACACTGCACCTGCGGCGCTGACTCGCTCTGCCATATTTTTTTTTCTCCCTCTTTCAGTCAAGAGGCAGTGATGACAGCGCGGCGGATGACGCAATAATCGCGCGACACAACTAATCGATGATGAAATTCGTTGCCAACGCTTTTAAAAGTCGATTTTTATCGATTTTATCGATTTGTTGTTGCAGCCCTAGTGGCAACATATGGCATTTGTTTACACTGAATTTAATCACAGTTTGGTGAGAATAGTATGTACAGTATGTGTTGCATGTGAAACAGTTCTTATTAGAAATACATCGTACAATGTGATACTTAATGGGAGATAGAAGAATGATTACACTACTTCTAGTGGGGAATTATCACAGGAAAGGTATTAAGGTAAGACACAGGTGCTGAGGTTAGGGATGGGGATCGAACCCTGGTTCTATCAAGGACCCGGTTCCACTTTTTTCAAAACCCGAAAATCAATAACGTTCAATAACGTAACAATCGCGTCACAGCATTTAAATCTAATCAATCCAATCACTGCAGCATGTCCACCAATGTTTTGGAATGAAATTGTAAGCAAACAGATATTAAAAGTAAAACAAGTGAAGTCTGGCAGTTAACTTCGCTCGCGACTCGAGAATGGCTGAACGGACGAAAAGGTCTAAAGTTTGGCTTCATTTTACCAAGCTCAAAGATAAAGAAGAAGCGAAATGCAACTTATGTTGCAAAATCATCTCTTTTAAAGGGGGGAACACAACCTCAATGGCCAAGCACATTAGTATTGTGCATCAAATAAAGGCCAAATGCAGTACCTTCGACTGTCTCTGGGTTGAAAAGACTCCTCCTCCTCCTGCTGCTGCCGCACCACAGTCGGGCCCGTCTTCATCATCCACTCAGAGTACCACTGGTAAGCGCACACAGACTTTGTAGCTTGTCCGGTCAGTTAAAAATAGTAATTGTGAAATCCGTCTTGTAATCGGAAGCATACAAGCTAGTTAGCTTGAAAAGTAAATAAAGTTTCAGATGTGCTGCGTGATGATGTGTTCAGATTGGCTCAGTAAAACGACAATTAGGTTATCATGATGCGTTCAAGTGTAACGTAAAGAAAAGGGAAATTGAGTTTTTGGCGAGAAACATGAGTAATACAGTTGTATATTGCTCTAGTTATTTTAGAATATATAATTAAACTACTGATGCCAACATTTATTAAAAATGAAATTTAGTTTAAAATACAACTATTTATTTGCTAAATATTTTCCTAATCACTAAAACCATGATGAAAAGTGACAGTAGACAATACATTAACCAACAATTGTGAAAATTTATATATTTGTTTAAACCAAAAGAAGACATTTCTTCAAAATATAGCACATTTCTTCAAATAATTTTTTTCCCACTTCCTTTAAGCAATAAAAGCTACACCAGTTCTGTTAAAAACATATTGTCTCATCGTCTTTCCACCAAATAACAGAAAAGTATCGATAGTGGTATCGATAAAGACTCGGATCGATAAGGAGTATCGATAAAGGTATTGATATCAATAAATATTAACGATCCCCATCCCTAGCTGAGGTGCAGATGTGTGAGATTGACTGTCAGAGAGGCAGCTTTGCAGCATTTGCACAAGAACAAACTATAGAAAGAAGAAGTTACCCATCAGAGATCTATGGACTGAGCTGGAATAAAGTGAGCATCACTACACAGTAGAAATAAATGGGCCAAGGCACCCAAACAAGGTACTGGACATCCATGTATTGTTTACTCTGAACACACATTTACCCCATTTGTTCCTCAGTAACTTGACATACAGCAGTTACGGCAACATGACAGGGACATTTCATGCATGTAAATATGCTGTAGATAGAGCTGCTGTATCAACAAATCAACAAAAAGGCAGGTACTGTATGTTACATCAAAATCTCCACAAATCTGAAAAGAAGCAACATAAAAATAAATTTTGCTTCCAGTCTGAAAAAGTACAAAACATTTAGTGAGTAGGTTCATACAGGTCATTTCTGGATAGTTTCATTCTGTATATACAAAAAAAGAAACAACAACACTGCTTCATATTAAGCAGGATTTACACCAGTATCACATTTTTAACTTTACTTTTAACACATTCGGTTTTATTAAAGGAAATATCAGATTTTCTCAGGTGCCAAAACAAAATGTAACAGCTCTATAAAGGTTCACCAGAGAGCATAACATAAAGTTAACATGACTATAACAGCTGAATGCGGCGATTTCCATGTTGCTCAGCAAAACGCTTCACTAATTTATTTAGATCCAAAGCCTTTGTGCGTTTTGATTTGAGTACAACCAAACTTTACAGTCTCTTTTCTGTCATAGTTGACCGCAGATATGTCTTTATGAGCCTGAGACGTCAGGCCTAACTAACATCATAGTTACAGAAATAACGATCTGCAACCTGATTTTTATCATCATAAAATTAGCATTGCAGCTATGCTAGCAACATTGAGCTTTCATTATGATTTAATTTCTCGATAGATAGTTAATCAGTTTTTACCTGTTTCATCCCGTGTCTCCTCTCCCCATGACCCCTGGATCCCTCGCTTTGCCCCGTTCGGTTTTCAAAACTAATCAATCTCAGTCGCTCTCGCGTCATCTCATGCTGCATTCACCGCAGTCTGACATTGGAAATTAGCGGTCGTAATTCTCAAATTATCCATAATTTATAAGCCTCGCCATCCCTACCGCCAACTGGGGTGGCAGCAGGGGCGGCAAGGCTGCCATTTAGGGTGGCAGCCTATGGGGGATCTGGAGTCATCATGTCATCTCTATGTCATGTATTTGTTCTCACCAGGTGAGTCTAATCTGCACAGGTTAAACAGGATTGGACTCACCTGGTTCAGCGGCTGGGTAGAACAAACACATGACAAAGAGGTGAACAAGTTGTTGACTCCAGATCCCCCATCTGCCAGATCCACTCCTTGGTTATCCTGGCTCTGTGCTTTGGTTGATTGTCATGTTGGAAGACCCAGCCTCCACCCATCTTCAATGCTCTGACTGAGGGAAGGAGGTTGTTCCTCAAAATCTCTCAATACATGGCCCCAGTCATCCTTTCCTCAATGCAGTGCAGTCACCCTGTCCCATGTGCAGAAAAACATCCCCAAAGCATGATGCTACCTCCCCCATGCTTCACAGTAGGGATGGTGTTCTAGGGATGGTACTCATCACTCTTCTTCCTCCAAACACGGTTAGTGAAATTATGACCAAAAAGTTTGATTTTGGTCTCATCTGACCACATGACTTTCTCCCATGACTCCTCTGGATCATCCAAATGGTCATTGGCAAACTTTAGGTGGACCTTTACATGTGCTGGTTTAAGCAGGGGTACCTGCAGTGCCATGATTGATTTCAAACCATGACGTCTTAGTGTATTACTAACGGTAACCTTGGAAACGGTGGTCCCAGCTCTTTCAAATCATTGACCTGCCCCCCCCCCCATGTAGTTCTGGGCTGATTTCTCACCTTTCTTAGGATCATTGAGACTCCACGAGGTGAGATCTTCCATGGCGCCCCAGTCCGAGGGAGATTAACAGTCATGTTTAGCTTCTTCCATTTTCTAATGATTGCTCCAACAGTGGACCTTTTTTCACCAAGCTGCTTGCCAATTTCCCCGTAGCCCTTCTCAGCCTATTGGAGGTTTACAATTTAGTCTGTAGCGTCTTTGGACAGCTCTTTGGTCATGGTCATGTCAGCAGTTGGATTCTTACTGATTGTATGGAGTGAACAGGTGTCTTTATGTGGCTAACGACCTCAAACAGGTGCATCTAATTTAGGATAATAACTGGAGTGGAGGTGGACAATTTGAGGGCAGACTAACAGGTCTTTAAGGGTCAGAATTTGAGCTGATAGACGGGTGTTCAGATACTTATTTGCAGCTGCATCATACAAATAAATAGTTTAAAGAATATACATTGTGATTTCTGGATATATTATTTAGATTATAGCTACGTTCACACTGCAGCCTGAAGTGACCCAAATCCGGTTCTTTTGGCCCATATGCGACCTATATCTGATCTTGACAGTCTGAACAACTCAGATACGATTTTTTCCAATGCGACCCAGGCCACTTGGCTATGTGGTCCTGAATCCGATATGAATCTGAGCTTTTCAAAGCGACCTGTGTGTGAACGGCCAGGTCGCATTCATCCGACCTGAACGCCATTAATACCCGACAAAGGTCACTATTCTGGGTCTTGCTATGAAGAAGCGGCAAGATCGGAATTGAGCATTAAGGCCTGCAGTGTGAACGGAGCCTTAGTCTCTCACAGTGGACACGCACCTATGATGACAATTCCAGAACCCTCCAGGATTTCTAAGGGGGAGAACTTGCAAAATAGCAGGGTGTTCAAAAACTTATTTTGCTCACTATAAATCAGCAGTGGGAGGACAATGTGACATTTTTCCTCTTGCTGAGAAGTTTAGTAAACATTTATATTTAGCCCTCATGGTTTCTCTTGCAGAAGCAGTCTGTGTCTGGTTTTATATTAGGAAGCACGAAAGGTGAAGCAGTTAAAAAACACAGCAGCCATGTTTGACTGAACTTTGGGTTTTCAGATTTTAAATTCAGTATTTTCAGTTTTATATTTGAACAGCAAATGTTTCCTTATCAGATACGTGGCTCAGCTGTATCACCTAATAACCAAGATCAAGTGGGAATATGACACCCCGCCCAACATTTTGAAAGGAGGTAAGAAGCTTTGAACAGACTCAGTTATGACCGGATCTTCTTCAGGACTTAAAAACAATTCCTAAAGATATCGAAGCTGATTAAAAAGAATTAATTATTTTTTTCTGTTATGAGGAGCTTTTTGATTCACGTTTCCATTTCTTAGTGAATGCGACCACAAATATCTCTTCAGTTTTCACAAAAGCAAACCTGTGTGGCCAGGAGTCTTACACACATCCTCTTTTCTAGCTAAGAATAATAATATTTATTTATTATCTGTGATGCCCCAGAAACAAAGATGCAAAAATACCAGGCAGACAGTTTATGTGAGGTAAACACAGCTACTACTACGATGCCCATACATGGAGGCAAAACCAGCTTTTTAAAGCACTGGATCTGTGCAGACAAGTTTAGAGCTCTACGACTTTTTCTGTCAATTAAAACTTGGTTAATTAATCAAAACATTTTAGAGTAAAGTCTTGTATATTTATGTTTCTCAAAAGAAAAATCTTCAACTAGACTGAATCCAAAAAGGAATCTTCATTTCCTGTTTTTCCTTTCTAGTTTTTATCAGTACTCAGAGTGGGTCAGCTAAACAGATGAAATTACCATCAGCCACAGTATTTGTTTTAAAAGTGTTTCTAACATTCCTAATGGATGCCAATCAAATACATTTTTAGCGTCCAACGACTCAGTCTCAGTTTGCTTATTCTTCTGCTTCCAACTCTTTTCTCTTTCAGTGCACTACGGCCCAGATCTGGCCACTCCCATCAACATCGACACATCTGCACGCTCTCGCAGCGACACAAGCGATCAGCTGTGGAGCTTCGTCAGCTCTGAGTGGTAGACAACGAGCCGATAGTTGTTTGTTTTTGCCTCGTGTTAAACTGATAAAATCTATTCACATTTATGCTTTAATGCTTGTTGTCTGCATTGGTACGGCAGCATGGACTGAACGATGTCTGCTGAGCAGGAGTTGGTCACTAGATGTCGCTATAGAGCTAATATTGAAGCCAGTGAGGGTTCTTTAGGGCAGATTTAGAGCAAGGATTGCTCTATTACTGTGTTTTATTAATAAACATGTAATTAGAGATCTGCTGTTTAGTCAGAGCATCTTAACTCAGAAACAATATTTACCTTTTGGATTTCCTAAATAAGATCTGCTTCCAAACTGTTTTTTTTTTTTATTATTTGTTTTACTTTTGTTTTACAACTGATCATAATGTCTTCAGTACTATAACATTTATACATTCAGCTAAATTCCCCAGATTTTACTGTATTATTTTCCAACCATTAAACTATTCTGTTTATTTTCAAGTCTTTATTTGTCTGCTAACCTACCTCTTTTCTAAGTTGTTTTATTTTACCGTATTTAAAGAAAATACTCAACATCAGGTGCATTTCTGGTAAAAAGTTAGTGCAGAAATGATCAATTCGCAATGACATAATCTTTTTACTTATTCTGAAACAGATAAAAAGGGAAGTGTACAAAAACAGATGTGAAATCCAACCTACCTAAGCTGAGAGATATGAGGAGATGGAGCAATCATGTTTACCATCCATCAACTGTTTCCTATAAGAGCTGATGATTTTAGAGTTGTGTAGAATGCAGCTAAGTGTTAGCATAATGAAAACTTGGACATATCAGCACTGGCCTCAGGAGAGCGTATGCTTAGTCGTGTTCTGAAAATGATTTAAGAACACAACTAAAGTCAAACTAAAGTATTATTCACGTTGAAAGCTTCGCAGTAAAAACCCTTCTCATTAAAATGATTGTGTAAAAATATTTGGTTTGTTCAAGATCAAAATGAGACACTCATATTCTGACGCAGCAAAATGAATAAAGAAAGCTCTAAAAGCATATGGGTAACCCAGCTGTACTGCACGGTGGAGGAGGTGTGATGTGTTGGCTTTTTAGCAACAAGAAGCCATGATGGGGATGAAAAACTCTCTAATCATTGTTTAGTTTTCTGGAGTTTAATATGAAGCAGAATGACTGAAAAAAAAAAGGAATCAATGAGATATAACGGCCCAGTCGAAGTCCAGACCTGCGTTTGGTTGAAACATTGATCCTAGTAGGAACTTACAGACACAATGATGTAAATTAAAGAAATACAACAATGTGAGAAACTGACGAAGTCAAACAGAAAACCACCATTACAACTGAAGCCAGTTCTGTAAGCTACTGAATCATGGGGGCGTACTTTTGTTTTTCACTCACGACTTTTCCATGTTAGCTTCCTGTTCCTCACCATGACAAGGTAGTTTAACTTAAGGTTTTTAGAGAATGTCGCTAGGCCTTGATTTAAATAAGGAGTCATGTTCTTTTTCTGTAGCTGAACGTTCAAAATGAAATGTGATTATTTGGTTTGATGGTAGTGATCCCCCAACTGAGGGTCTGCTTTAGTGGTCTGTTTTTACTGTCCCTATCACACATGGTGCTGCGGCTTGTAGTTCACACTCTGACTACAAGAACCAAAGCTTCCGCCTTACATAAAATTCAGGGTTTTTTTTCTTGTTTTTTTTTTTTTATCTTTCTGCATTCAGCAGAATGACGAGACTCTGCTCAAGCAGGATGTGGAGCCCAGAAAGGGAGGCACACCGTCACACATACCACTGTGTGGTTTTCTTACCGTAAATTGAGCATCAGGCCCAATTCTGAGACTTCACTGGTAGCTTTGCCTCTCGGTGGCTTTAGCACGTGGTTTGTCACTTCAGCTCAGGGCGCCGCTTGAAACAGCGCTAGCTTTTCTTTGATCGTTCTGCTCAAGTTACGGTCAGTTTCAATTGTGATGAACCCAAACTTTCAATATGGCCTGATTGCGCTGCATTTTAAACTAGTATATTGAATCGAAATATAATCAATGAAAGCTTCTTATCCTTTCAGGTTTATGGGGTAATGGCTTACCTCAAGGTACCTTAGACTGATCCCCAGTCTTAATAATAACAATTATTAAGTTTATATTATTACACTAAAAGTCTAATATATTTATTTTTGTAACTTTGTGTTTTTAAAGTCAAATTTGTGATAATTGATGCTAAATAAAATGACTATTTTACAGCCATTTTTTCCAAAGATGACTGAAATATTATGTTATTCCTTCAAGCAATAAGGTGAATGAAAAAATATTTAATGTTTTATATTATTTAAAAATATATATTATTGAATTGCAGAAAAAATATATAATTTATTGCAAACAATATTAATTTAATGCGTCTTGATTCATTTAGACAGTATTCTGAGTCAAATTCGTGGCCTGTTGACCGAATCCAACCTGTTGCAGTATTTATGTGGCCCTCAAATAAGTAACGTAGAGGAATGTGTTCTTTTAAAATTAAAATAGTGGCTAAACTGCAAAAGAAACGATGGTAAGGATTTATCTTTTGAAAGCAGACCTTTCAATTTAGCTGCACTTTTTAGACTTCATGGTGCAATCTATAAAAATGAGCTTCTGACCCCAATTCTAAGGTGTTGAATGGGATTATTTCTATCAAACCTTCTAAAAATAAGGGATTTAAAAAAAATAAATGAAATTCATTTACCTTTTTTTTTTTTTTAGAAAAAATAATTAAAGAGAACATCAGATAAAAATCATTCACATGTTTATTCAGTGCAGATATAAAAAAAGCATAATTTATGTAGGTAATGAAGGTAAGACATATTTACAAACTAAATACAAGAAAATAGATTTTTATCTTTACATTTCTTTTTTTTTTACAATGTGATTAAATTTCACTGATAGGCCTTCACACACACAAAAAGAAGAAATTCACAGAATAAAGATGAGCGTCCTCTAGCAGAAATGTCTGTCTATCAAGCTATAACTTTTAACTGCCACGTTCCAGCCTGCAAAAAAGGCGTCGCCACGCCTCGGCTGTCAGCTTTTATTGCTTTAAAGCACTGGTCGTGTGTGATGCTACATGTGTTTGAGGGACCTCCAAAGCTGAAGGGCCACCCAGCCCGGCCCCTCTGTCTGACGTCTTTAGAGTCTCTGATGCCGCCGGCCTCAGCGCTGACCAAAACTCACATGGCAGAGATTACAACCTTTGGGCAGCCGCCAATTTTTTTGGGTGTGGATGGCTCCGTGATCACGACAACGTGTCATTATATGCTACAAAGGCAGTGGGAGAGAAGCCTAAAGCTTAATCTTGGGCTTTCCCCTCTTAATCAGCTGCACATTACAGATGCTGCATAATGTCAACACTAAGGCTTGGATTTATTGGCCTCTGCAAGAACTTACTAGACAACTTAGGTTTTGTCTTGGATTAATACTGGCCTTGCTTAAGAGTCTTTAATGGTAATGCTATGAAAGACTGGCTTTCAGCAACAATGAAGGCACATAGAAGTGGTATAAATATGAGTCAAACATGAAATTTGTTTCTCCCAGCTTTATAAACGTGGACAATTTAAAACTAGAATCATTTCAAAGTGCAACAGTTTTTTTTTTCTCTTCCTTCCAATGTTTCTTTAAATATGAGTCTTATGCACAAATCGAAGTGCAGCACGACCAGTTTCAGTCTGTGTGCTTTCCTTTCAGTTCTGAGTCAGAGTGTTATATCTTGGATATCCTTGGATAAATAGCTTTAATAGTTGAGGGAAGGTTCGCAGAAGAAACCGTCGTCTCCATTCCCTCTAGTCTGTGAGACGTTGCGTCCGTTTTGGTGGTGCTGAAGTCCAGGAAGGCCAAACCGAACTTTTTCATTCTCCCGTCTTTAGTTAGGAGGCAGCGGTGGCAAAGCAGTTTGAGAATGGCCTTCCGCATGTCCTTGCTGGTCAGCGTGTAGATGATGGGGTTAAGGAAGGAGTTTAACACTGCGAGGCCCAGGAAGTAGTCGGCCTTAAAGAGCACCTTGCATTCATTGATTGGACAGCTGAAGTCCAGAAGGAATAGGATGAAAAGGGGCATCCAGCAAGCGATGAAGACCCCAAGGACGATGGTGACGGTTTTCAGAAGGGCCATGTACTTCTGAGACTTGCGGTAAAGACCTTTGCGTTGGGGAACTGTGGCGAGGCGCTGGGTATTGGACTTGACGATGCGGAAGATTCGTACATAGAGAACCACAATGGACATGAGGACGGCACTGAAGACGGTGATGCAGAAGAGGATGTAGCTTTTAGCGTAGAGCGGCAGGACGGTGGAGCACTTATTGAGCTGCCAGATGCAGTTCCAGCCCAGGACTGGCAGAACACCCAGGAACACTGACAGCACCCAGCTGCATAAGATCAGAGCTAACATCCGTCCCTGTTTATGGCCCTGGTAGGGCTTCATCCTCACCATGGTGACATGCCGCTCTATGGCGATGGCCAGCAAACTGATGATGGAGGCGGCCAGCGTGATGAACACACAGCCCTCCCTCAGGAAGTATAGCAAGGGGGTCATGTTCATCGTGTTGGCACCAGATGTCATGATGTTTATCATGTAGGTTAAACCTGCGAGCAGGTCTGAGAGAGTTAAGTTCCCCAGTAAATAGTACATGGGGATATGGAACTTCTTGTTCTTCCAGATGGCAATAAGCACCACAGCATTCTCTGCAACAATAAGCAGGCAGACAAGCAGGAAAGCAATGGCGTCCGGTTTGAGTCCAGTCTTGTACTTATCCCCGCTGGTCCCATTTAGCTTGCCTGTGTATTTATAGTGCTCCTCAATGATTTGTTCGTTCAGGTACACACTAAACATGGAGTCCATTACTGCAGCTTGGGTAGAAACTGTACTTATTGTTGGGATTCCCCAGGAATGGAAGACTGGTTTCTTTTTCCACCTTTTCTACGGATTATAAAATTAGATCCACAAACAAGATGTCAGAGTCCTGCTGTCAGACGTTCTTCCGTCTCTTGATACGTAAGCAGGGGAAAAAGGTGTTGCTTTGATGTTGTCAGCCAGGCTTTCTTGTGGTTTCAAAAGTTTCCTCCCAAAATCTTTTTGTTCAATATCTGGGACACACAGATGAGAAGGCAGCCTGCATATTAAAAGCAAAAATAGAAATAAAAAAAATTAGAAAATATTATTAATAATGACAAGAAACATAAGAGCTATAAAAAAAGATGGTAATATGACACTTTTAAAACCGTTTTTACAAATAGGGACCATTTGTCATTGTTTGTTCGCCCCCATGCCAGTAGGGGGCATCGTTTGTGCAAAACAATCTTAAGATTTTACCTCCATAAATAAAATAATATGTTTTCAGGGTGTGAGGGAAGTTATAAATGGATGTTTTAAATCCCTAAAAATAAACTATATAATGTTTTTTGCCAAAGTAGGAAGTTAATGATCCTCCATAAACCAGATCAGCTGGACAAAATACATTTATT